TTTTTTTTTTTTTGCGCAAGAGATGCCACTTAACGCAATTCCAGTATTATTTTTTAAACTATTTTATTCTCAAAGCGTTAAGCAATTAAACAAATAAAACTAGTAATAGATTGCAGATGAACTTACTGAGAATTAGCGTACATCATATTCTGTCCTGGATAGACTTGTGCCGAGGAATAATTGGGGTGCACATTCATCTGCGTTAATGACGTAGACTGTACATTACCATTCTGTGCATTACCCTGTGACATTGGAGGCATCATGGCACCCGGAATCATACCTGCCATAAGACAACAAACGTTGGTAAATCATTGATCGGGACGATTCGCAGCGACGGTTCAATTTGGCGCAAAGGCGTTGTCAGTTGAATTAGAATTAATGTAACATTCATTCGAAATTTGATAATCTGTGCGGTTCCAGGTGGAGGGGGTTCATTGGGTGGCAAACAAAAGTTTATCTTGGTTACATACTTAGCGGAAATGATCTTCAAATTCGACAGGGTGTTGTCAATTGAATTAGAATTAATACAAATTTGATAATCTGTGCGGTTACAGTTGGAGGGGGTACAATGGGTGGCAAACAACCCTTTAAAAGTTTTAAAATAAGAATAGAGTTATTTGCTGGCTTTCTAGTTACAGCTACCCTTTTGACATCATTCTTGACCTGCCATTGAAATGGGGCTAGAATTACACATGCCATTAATCTGATTCGATGCGCATCTTGATGTTATCCTTGTTACAGTAGGTGAATACATTATTAACATTTTTTAGTCAAGGCAAACCTACAAGTGAAACCCCTCTATACCGGACAGTGCTGGGACCGATAAAAATTTCCGGTTTAGCGGGGGTTCCGGTATACTGAGGTTTTTGCAAATTACTTTTGTTTTCAATTTGAATAGGTGCGATATCACACCTATTGAAAATATGTTTGTGTCTAATCGTTTGGCGTCAGTATAAACAAACGTAAACGAAAGTTCAAGTAAAAATATCAACAATAAGATCAAAAACTAAGCAAATTTCTTAACTTTTTTTTCCAAAAGAACGCCAAGAAGAAAGATTCTAAATACGATCTGAACAAAATCCCCGGTAAAATGGACTGGGAATGACCCCAAAGCCATGTGACATGAAAAAACATGGCGGCCGCAACTTCACGAACCATTCAATCTTTAGTATTTCTCAACACTATTAAACCTTCCTTATGCATTCTGTTTGAACATTTATATATTGAAAACAATCAATTAGTCTTTATATGTCTATTTGTGAACAAGATTTACTATTTAAAGAAAATTTTCGATGATTTTGTGAGTTTAGAAGTTGTGCCTGTAGGCTCAATTTATACACCCGCAAATACGCTAGTGACGGTACTTCCGAAACAAAGGTACGTTCTTCCGGACTAGCTGGGTTGGATTCTATTGTCAAATAGCGTTTGTTACCGAAATTATCGTCCGGTTTCCGGAATAGAGAGGTTCCGGTTTACTGAGGTTTATTTTACAAAAGATATATGGGAAACATTTCCGGACCAAAACTTTTGTCCGGTTTAGAGAGAATTCCGGTATACTGAGGGTCCGGTATAGAGGGGTTTCACTGTATACGTTTTCTGATCATTTCGACTAAGTTTGTATAGTGTATTACTATACATGTACCTTGTTGAGGTTGCATTTGAGGTGGAATCATTCCAGACATTGGTGCCATCATTCTTGGAGGAATACCACCTTCTTGGTTGATCATAGAATTCTGTTGCATGGCTGCTAGTCGCTGTTGCATCATGTTTTCATGCTGCATAGGTCCTAATGCTTGTGCATGCTGCATGTTAAGGTCTTGACGGATTTCATTCTCATCACCTGTGTGCAACATTATATAACATTAATAATTGCATGGGGAATGAAGAGCGGTGTAGCACCCTCTTACATCTAGGGCCTTGGGTTCAATTTCTAGCCCGGATACCACAATGAAACAACTGAATTGATGTTCATCAAGGCACCTATGAACCACCAGCAGTACTATATGAAGTACTTCATATTCGCTTGACCACCAGTTATTACCATACCTTGCATAGTCTGTGATGTCATTATTCCCATATTCTGTATCGGAGGTGTGCCCGGGGACACAAACATCTCTTGTTCTTGATAGGCTGAATGAAAAAGTGACAAATTAACTGTCTGATCACACTCTGACAAGATAACTAGCAATTACTTCTCAGGCCCAAATGGGATATGAGTCAATAGCTCATTAGGCGGAAGGCCAAATTGGCTATTGACTCATAGGCAATGAAATCGAGAGGACTAATTGTTTTAGTTAAATCCAACTACAGGTAGTCGGTCAAATATATAGGCGCAGATAAGTTTTGGTTTTCAAAGCTGGCATTTTTTGCTACTAGTAGACTATAATTTATAGCCTAGTAGTAGCTCATCTAATCAGAGCGCAGCATTGATGATAGACTACTAATTGGATTTGATTAAATGTTGATGGTGCTCAAGGTTCACATGGGTATGGAATATTTGAATAATGATATAATATTAGGTGTACCCGGTGAAACAAACATCTCTTGTTCCTGATAGGCTGAATAAAGAAAACAAGTGATGAATTAACTGTCAGATCAAACTCTGACTTGATAAATGTTGACAGTACTGTTCAAAGTTCACATGGGTACATAATATTTGAATAATGAATACCTAATATTAGATACATTATATTCTAATATAACATGTGAGTCTGCCCTGACTTTGATCAGCCCATGGGTTTTGAGGGTTGCATAAAAACTGAGGTTGGATTCAATGTAAAGAAAAGAGAGGAATCTACTGTGTATGTAAAAAAAACCTAGTGAAAAATGATAAACAGATGTGCAGTATTGGTCAGAATGGGAGGGGGTGGAGGGGTAGGTACTCCCATGTAAAACGAGGTTATTATAACATACACTGAAAGTACATAACTGACAAATGGCATCCAGTTGAATATTTGGGGTCATCAATCACATCTCCCTTAAAGATACTGCATCGCATGTGCTAAAAAAACCAACAGCTACTTTATTTTAATCCCCAAGAGTGATTTCAAACCCTAAAAGATAAGATCATCCCTGCCTTTCATTATGGGAATACCCCATCCTAGGGTTATTGGTCCAACAAAGTAATGTCATCACTTCTGTAGTCATAATCCAAGTATACCTACCCAGCTGGTCATAATAAGATCCGTCAGCCATAACCTGTCCCATCTGTTCAGGGAAGGATTCTGCTGGAGGTGGGGCAGTCTGTTGGGACATCCTTTGACGCTGTGATGAATACCGCTTGGGTTTGCTGGTCTGAGTTGGTTCAGTGGTCGGGTGAGGTCTGCTATGTTGGACAGCAGGACTCTGTCTATGAGATGCTGAAAAAGATTGATAAACTGGTTTACTTTCTGCAACTTCTACCCAGTAGTTTACTGCAGTTTTTGATATTCTTTCTGCGGACTCGGTAGTTACATTTCGAGCTGCATGCTGAAATTTGGTTTTTCTCTGCCGTCAATCAAAATTAATCATTTGGTACCTTTTATGTTCTTGACTAGTGGCAGTAAAAAAAATTTTTTTTACAAGCCATTGAAATGTTAGCATTTTCAGAATATCATAAAACTGGAGTAATGGAATTTTAATTTTAAAAATCTGAGCTAAGATAATCAGGGAGCAATTTATGTATGAGCTGGTGATTCTGGCAGGAAAAGATTGTTACATATATAGGTTTGTGTTGAATTGTTGTACTTACTTTCTTCTTGTTTGTCAGCCTGTTCTTCAGTTGGTCTACCTTCATACTGTGATTAAAGAATAAAATTGTCATTAAATTGTACTAATTAAAATAATTAAGATGCAGTGCATTCCTTTAACCTCTGCGAAAACATTCATAATCAATTATATTTCAGGTACACGATATGATGTTACAGTACTGTTAACCAGGTATTTGCATAGCACATTCTAACATTTCAGTCCAATAAACCTAATTCTTCTTGGTGCACTGTTTACCCACTTCAGACCCAGTGCCATTCTCTTGAGAATGAACTTCTTTGTTTGAGTTGTATCCATATTCATGTGTCTCCTCATGCACAACCGTCACACCAAGAGAGAAGCATAGCCACTTTACCCCCCCCCCCCCTCCCCCATCCTAATGCTGTAGAAACCTAAGCATCTACAGCGTATGTAGTCACATAAGTTCAACTGAAAATAGGTTTTTGGCCTCCTTCCCCTCCCTCCCAAGACAAAATCTTGTCTACGCCTCTACCAAGATAAATTAGGCCTACTGCATAAAAATAGGTTACGCTATAGCTGTTTCTTACCTCATAGTCTTCATCGTTCTCTACTATAACATCACTGTCAGCATCTGTTCATAAATATCAAACAAGTTCAAAATTGATTTTTTTAGAGGCATTAAATATATTTTGAAATTGAAATTTCAATGTTGCAATTTAATATGAGTGCTACAGGTCCACATATATTTTTTTCTTTTATGTGTTATCCTCTAAATGAAGATTTCCCTTCATAAATACCGATGATCTCATTTTATTAATTGTTTCTCTGAAATCTCTGCAAAAATGATTTACAAACCTTCAAATTTCTCTTCTGCCTGTTTTGCCTTTTCCTCCTCTTCTTTTTTCTTTTCAAGTTCTTTTTCCCTCATAAAGTCAGCAGCACTCTTTCGTGCCTTCTTCACATCACTTGGGCTGCCTCTTCCCCTTCCTCTCCCCCTGGATTGGCTATAGGCTTTGGATGGTTTGCTTTCTGCTGGCGATGGTTCTTTAGTTTGGACTTGATCATCGTGTTGTCTTCCTCTTGATCTATCTTCTCTTCTGTCTCTTCTATCTCTGTAATTGTATCAAGAGAAAGAAAATTCTAAATAGTTAGTTGTTGAGTTTAAGGTGCCTGACCAGAACTCACGTTACATTACCTTTAAATTATCGGRCCTTACGTGACCTCTTAATACATGTTAGTGGACAGTAAGGGTGCTATAACAATGGTTGCCAGGGGTCAAAGAGTCAGATAACTGGTTTGAATCTGCGAATCTCAGTACAGGTTAATTAAGCTTAAAGCTCGTAATAAGTGTGGTTGTCCAACGTAAACTACTTGAAAGACCACATCTATGGTGGTTCCCACATACACGTAATTAACTAGAGACGTTAAAAGAGGACCACAAGGCAATCAGATTAATTACTAAGGTGTTTTGGTGCTTGGATAGTTATTAAAGATGTGAAAATATGTACTTTCAAGCAAATTTTTCTCAAAAAAAAATTCCAAGCTCCAGGCAAGATTTAAACATGTGACCTTTTGCTTAGAGCGTCTGACTAGCAAATAGAACGTCACTGGTTTAAATCCCTCCTGGAGTTCATCAAAGTTGATTTTTTTGATTCAGTTGGATTCCAAAAAATTTTCAAAAAATGTTGACTATACCTGTTACTTCGAATGCTGTCATCCCTTTCATTATCACCATCATCTCTTCTCCTGTTTCTATCACCTCTTTGACTACTTTTCCAACTTGATCTATCAGGATATTCCTCTTCAACATTTCTTGATTCCCCTCTCCTTTCTCTTCTATTATTCCCTCTCTGTCTTGTTTTATTATCCTGATAATCATATTGTTCAGGTGAAGAATGTGTTTTTGCAAAACCTCTATTGTCTTTTTCTTCTAATCTTTCACCTCTTCTACCTCTACAACGTGAATCTTGATAATGATCTTCACTATTATCACCTACATATTCACCCTCTTTATCTCTTGTTTCTTCATCATAAGATTGTCTATTGCCCCTTCTATTTCTTGGTTGATTTCTACGTTGGTTTCTGTTTTGGTTTTCTCTGCCATCATACTCCTCTTCCTCAACTGGTTCATCTCTTGTCCTTCTATTCCTGACTCCTCTTTCTGGTCTGTCATCTCTCCTTCTTCGATTCTCATATTCATTTTCCTGTTCTTCATATTGTCTTCTGTCGTCTTCATCTCTTCTCCTATTTCTGAATCCTCTTTCCTGTGGTTCATCTTTCCTTCTCCTGCTTCTGTATTCATCATCTTGTTCTTTGTCTCTCCTTCTATCTCTAGTTTCCTCTTCTTCGTGCTCTACTCTCCTTTCTCCATAATCATCTTCCACACCTTCATCATTCTGTGGTGACCGTCCACCTCTCATACCTCCCATCCCCCTCTGGGGCATCCTTCGTCTTCTGCTTTTGTCATTAATAAATTCTTGTAATTCATACGTACGTCTACCTCTAGAGCGACCAGCTCCTCTTCTTTGAGCACCTTGTGATAACTAAAAACGAAAATGTCATTGAGTTGCTAGGAAGTTAGAAGGCAAGGTTTAAAGTATACAAGTGCACAATGGCCAGACATGATGACTGGCTGGCCACACTGGACTGATCAGCATGTGATTGGTCAATGTGACAGGTCAAAGTCACCAGTCAATGTGACCAGTCAAAGGCATCAGGAAATAATGGCTGCTCAATGGCCAGACATATGACCAACCCCATCAGACTAATCAGCATGTGACCAGTGAAAGTAACCAGCCAAGAGGACTGATCTACATGTTTGGTTGTGTTTGGTCAAACTTGTTTCAATTTGGATGTTAGGCAACATGTACAAAAATAAGTTTAAATAATAAGTTTAAAATATTAAAGTTTGGAATGACAAAAAAAAGGAAGTAAGTTTGGCCAGTCTTCAAAATCTAGCACTTAAGTTTTTATTTTCAGTCATTAATATCTTTAAAGCTATACATGCTACAATATAATGCCCTAACTTTCCAAAACAAATTCTGACCTTAATTGTTCCTAATACTGTTTTTTGGACCCAAAAACGGCCTTTTTTGCTAAATTTAGCCTATAAGTACTAGCATGGTATAATTAATATATTCTGAGGCTGGTTGTACTGATTCAAATCTACATGATTTCAGAAGCCCTTCTTTACCTCTACTCCTCCTCCCATTAGTATTTTTCATGCTTTATATTATGAATTCCTACCCTTAGTTCCTCTCTTGTCTTTGGCATTTGCTCATCTTCATTATACATATCATGTAACCATTTATCAGATGCTGTTGTTGTACTCCATAGCTTTCTATTTGAAGGCCTCTCTCTGAAAGATAAATAAAACACCATAATTAACAATGGAAAGTGTATACCCAAATATCCAATGTTAAAATATGTGCGACTTTTATTGGCAGTCTGAGTTTTTTTACAGTGTATTTTCGACTGATGGACATCAAAATCCAAACATTTGTAGTTCTCTCAAATGAATAGAGTGCAAAAAAAAAAAATGGATTGAAATAAAATGGGATAGGATGTACTGTATTCATAACTCTCTTCTTGTATCTTTATTTTTACACACATACAAATAATTGTGTCTGATGTATTACCCTATGCACAGCAGGGTAGAATCGAGGGGGGTGACTAAATTGTACACCTTTTTTTGTGGAAGATAGCAAGTGTAATTTCTATTCATTTGATAGTCTGTCTTTGAATATGACTACAAGTTACTGATTTGTTTACTGTTTCAAAATTTCATTTATTTGATGTGGGATTCCTGTGGATAAGACAGGAAAATCTAAACATGATACATGTATGTGTACACATATTTATCTTGATGGGAAAATGCCTCACTACACCATTGATGCACAGTACATCAGATCTTGACTTAATCCACAAGTGCAGTAAAGCACATAAGTTTTTTTGTACCTTGACTCTTCTATTGGTGTGTCATCCCAACGGTCATCATGAGACCAAAAGTCTTGTCGGCGAGGAACAAATGCTGGATCCTTCTTCACCTCTTCTTCTTCTTCCTCACCTTCTTTTTTCTCTTCTTCAACCTTGCCCCAACAAATTGAATTAATGAATGTAAAAATCACAGGATCGCACTATTAAGATACAAGTACAATATGGACTAAAAAATGATTTAGCAAGTCTCAAATAAAGGCTGATAGCAAGTGGCAAATAATGTAAAACTATGCAAGACCATGTATAAATTAAACATGCAATAACACAATGTTGAAGTTTTTGTTTCCTTAGGTTCTCAATACATCAAGCTGAACAAAAATACAAGACTGCAAGACACTAAAAAATTGTGAGATCTGATCTTCATATCTGAGACCTGTTTATTTTGTTAAGTGAACTTATAGAACAAGAACTTTCATTTAAAACTGGTTATATATTAGTGATTTTTTTGTTTATTGAGCTAGTGAAATTTTTTGGTTCTATTACGTAGAAATATTGACTACAGTATTAAGAATACTGGTAGTAACTTCTTTTTGTAATTTTCAATATATAGTTTTCCTTTCCTGTAAAACCATATCTGCAAAAGGTCCATATACTGTAATTTAAGAAAAAATTGCAAAAGAATGATATATGGTCTTGCAACAAAAACATTACATCTAAGCTAAATAGGCTGGTAAATGAGTAAAGGGAAAGGAAACTGGCAATAACCTGTACCTCTTGCGTATCCTCTTTTTCTTCTTCCTTTTCTTCATCTTTTTTATCAGCTACACCTTCTTCTTCCTCTTCATTTCCACCCTAAACATTCACAAAAATTATTAGCCAAAAGATTTGACTAGACAARTTCTAATTCTGGCTACATTCTTAGATGACTGGTTGTTATAGTTTTAGCCATGATCAACACTAAAAATCCAAACAATTTACAAGTACATTTTTTTACTATCATATCATAATCATCAATAATTCTTTAGACCAACCTCAGAGTCTTCTTCATAATCACTTTCTTCAGCTGACTCAGAGCTCTCGTCAGAATCCGAATCAGAATCAGATGAGTCATCATCATCATCATCATCATCTTCTGAGGTATATCCTTCAGAATCTTCTTCTACATTACCACCATCTTGACTCTGGTCTACACTAGCTTCATCTTCATTTTTATCAGTAGATTCTACGCCTTTCTCAGTTTGACTCTCACTGTCCTTCTGATCTTCACTCTCTTTGTCATCTTGTTCATCAACACTGGGTTCTTTCTCACCATGACTTGAAGGTACTAATAAAAAAATACAAGCTTAATACATCATTTAAAATTCTCATTTATCTTTTAAAGTGGAACCTCTATAGACCCCTTGCATTGATTTCCTAAAAGAAAATCCATTGTTTTATCCCCAAAACAATTCCTCTCTATAAAATAACTATAAATACCCTTATGGTATTAAATATAGAGGTGTTTGTGATATATGAAGAGATGTCCAGAAGAAATTGATTTTACTGTATTTATATTATACATCTTACTGACTAAGTAATATTAAATGGTAAAAGTTATGAATTAACCCCTGTCCTCTGTTCGTAAGCCTACTAATATGCTGAAATGCAAATATTTTTCAAATCATAACTCCACCTATGCTCTTGATAACACATAAGAGATCAATGACGAACATAAGAGAAAGAAAAAATATTTCCTTTGTCCATTCTAAAAATGACAAGTTATACTAAATACTGCCACCTCAGTCTGTAGACTAGGGATGAGGCCTTTGTGGGACTGCAGACCGGGGTGCCAACGATTTTGTACAGCTATCTGGAGTGACTGGGCATTCTACAGTGTATAATCTAGCCCTCTTTTTTCCTTCACCTCATAAGCCCATCAGAATTGTATTCATAAAACATCATCCCTTATTCTAGGAATCCTTAAAGATGCAGTTAAATTACTTTATTAGAAAAAGTCTGGGTTAATTCAATAAACGAACCTTCTTTTGGAGCCAGTTCTTCTGGTACCCCAGCTCTCTTTTTGACTTCTTCAACCTCTTGTGTACCATTTTCTATCTGTTCATGTAAAAAATAATCATTAGTAAGTGATAAAAGTGAGGTTTTTTCTGCATTATCCTAACATTTAAGCTTCCTAGCTCTTAAGTTCTCGAATTCACAATCATTTTAAGGAATTATTCAAGACTTTTCCAAGTTATATCAATTTCGTAATTCATTACGAATTCAGAATTTACAGCTGTTTTTGAAGTTTCTTCGACATTCTTTGTATCCTCAAACGTATATTAAGAGAATAAGTGATATTAAAAGAATAAGTTATATCAAAAAGCCCTTCTAAAGCATAACCTCCAGCGAATTCTTACTACGCATACGAGAAAAATGAACTACATGTACAGTACTGTAAAAGATAAATGAGTCAAGTCAAGTGATCAAACCTGGTCGCCTTCCTTTTCAGATATTACATCCGTTATAACATCCACTGCTTTACTCTCCTTCTTCAAATCCTATTAAACAGAAAAAGCACAGTATATAAGAATCTCTTTAGACCATCAAGTTGTTTAACATATTCGTAAAATAATTTTTCAATGAGCGTTTTATGAACCTTTTTGTCGTTGCTATCTTTGACTTGAGTAGCCGTTTCTTTAACTACTGCTTCGCTCATGGTCTTAAAATCCTAACATACACCACCAACAGTTATTAATCTAAAAGTATCTAAAGTACTTTCAAAGGGAAGAATAAATATTGAGTGTTTTTAACAGGATTTTAGTGACTCTACTTAGTTCGCTTCTTTTCTCACCAGTTGGTCGCCATGTTGAAATGCGTACTAACTACTGCGCATCTGGTAAACTAGCATGCCGCTGAATACAAATTCTTTGTATTTTTGGCGGCAAAAAAGTCGAAAGCGCGGGATGATAGATGAAAGTCGGTGTGTCCCTTGAAGTCTTCTCGAGGTTAGTTTAAAGTACGTCAAACGTTTTAGTAAAGACCAAGCAAGATTTATTTCTCGCTGAAATCCTCGCACATTATACTATTTTTTTGTTAAAATACGCAAGATCGTGGAAATTAAACCAATAAAAGCTCATTACATTATTGGGAAATACTAGTTGGGAAATACTCTTACCACTAGTGTCTCCTAATTCATTCTTGATTCGATGCGCGGTTTTTTTGCGGGTTATCTGGCTTCCCCTCCCTCCATAAAATTTAAACTTTGTCAAGTAACCCCAGCCGCGGCATCGCTTGGGCGGTATGCAGGCAGGACCTCCTTTACGTGCACCTTTGCATTGATATACCGGCACGCACCRAGAGAACCGGCAGAAAAGCTACGACATGGCATGCTTGCTTGGGCGGTATGCATGCAGGATCCCTCTTACCTTTGATGCACCGGCAAGCACCTAGAGAAGTGCTTGGGCGGCATGCATGCAGGACTCCCTTACCTTTGATGCACCGGCACGCACCGAGAAATGAAAAGCTACGACATCACACACCTCAACGAAGATAACTTTTTGCCTATCTTTTTGCTTACAGTTGTGCAGTGCAAAACAGGGACTGAATGTTTGTTAACAGGTCATGCTCTTTAATTTTGTTTAGTTCCTAATGGATTAACGGCGACAGTCGTGACATACTTTACACATTGCAATATTACCAAGCGCATTCTCGTACCCAAAACCTTCTCCGAGCTTTCTTAAGAAAAATATCGATTTTTGGTGAGAAGCCGTCTGGGTACGAGATATACCCGTGTACACGTAAACGTATTCAACATGACCAGTTTATTATTCAATACACCATTTATTCATATACTTTCTATTTCATTTTGACACTAATATATTGCACTTGCTTTGCAACACTTAAATGAAAGGTTTCAGCTCAGTGAATCATGCAAAGATCTCTTGCTTACCCCACTGCCATCAAAATCACTATGAATTTTATAATAATCATTATATTATATATTGACTAATAATACTGTATAACCCTATTTTTGTTAGTCAGGTATCTGAGTCTATAATCAGGGGGGAGTGATAATCGAACGTTTCAAATTCATCCCTTTAAGGTCATATCCGCTTTTACTTCCTCGCCCTTGGGCTCGACGTTTTTTTTAGGGAAACTGCGGGGAACATCGGACCCTCTGACAAGGGTACAAAATGCAGACACAATGTATAATCTTTCAAGATTCTAAATGTAAAAGAAATATAAGTCCCAACACCATCTTTCCTCTGGAGTCAAAAGTTTTAGCAAGTCACCTCGATTAATCCTCCCTGTATTACCACCTTATCCCTAAGCCCCGTCCCACGGGGAAGTTGATAACAAAGGCATCCGTAAATTTCAAACATTATTTTGCGGTAGTGTAACGTCCAAAATTAATACCAATATACGATTCGACGTTTCGCTTGTTTATGTCTCGAGCCACTTTTTTCAAAACTTTATACCCTAGATTACCATTCCTGTCTGGGAAATCGATCTTTAAAAAGTTAACTGTCAGCGTGTATTCCTTTCTTTGATAGTAGCACCGATCAGTGGCCTGGGAAAGAAGCGGATTACAAGCATTGGCTCTTTCGGTCGTACACACAGGAAGCCCGCGAGTCACAAACATGTCAACACTGATCAACTTTTCATCAGTTTGGCAGCTCTCATCAATCAGTGGAATTAAGTTTTGACAGTTGTCGGATTCCTGGAACTTTAGATTGTTATTGGTCTGCTTGATCCATGTGAAGTCGTGCGCCCAAGTTATTCCCCCCATATGGGATGTCAACTTAGTATGCATGAACAGAAAGATTCTCTGGTTGAGTTGGACTGCCTCTCTTAACGTTGGCCACTCCCCAGTTGTCATGAAAGCGTCATTCAACATTAAATTTCTACGACGACGACGCTGACTGGTTGGAGCCCACAGATCTTCAAGTTTCTTTTTGATGTCTTTGGCGATTTCATTGTTGTTCCACCGTTGTACCTTGTCGGTGAAGCTAAGTACAACCACCTCATTTGGGTTGGCATCCATCCATGCATCAATCTCCTCCAGGATTGCAGATACAGGGTCGGAGTAAAAGACTTTATGACAAGTATAGGCTTTAATCATATAATTTCCCTCAAGTAAATCGAAAGTATCCTTCGCACAAGTATCGATATCAATACTTCTGATGCCATGCTTAAGTTGCTTGGTGACAGAGTCGCCTTGGTTACGCGCATAGCAGTCTGCATCAGACACTTCTTTGTTGCCATAGAGTTTGAATGGAGTAGACTGGGGACGAGAGAAGGAGTTGTGGGTGGCGGGAAACGTGAACTGGTTGAACCGCAAACCACAGTACTGCGGGCTACCATTGCAAGACAGACCAAAGGAAGTTGCAATGAACTACAAGTATAAARCAGGTTTATTAACATGAAAATGTGAAATGAATAAAAGCACTAATGACATGATGGGAATAAGCGGGAAATTAAACATATATTCCAGGCATTTTTTTAGCTTTCCTTCACTTAGTGAAAAATAAAAATTAGTGACATTCGAACTATCTTGAAGCTAGTATTATGAAGAAATAGAAAACGCGCGCGTGCGTGCTGTGTGCAGTTATAAAGTACGCGGGGATTGGCAAAATACGAGAGAAGAGTTAGAAGAAGCACGACGCGTAGCAGAGTACTTTTCGACATTTCTCGAGTGTTCTGCCAGCCTTATAACTTACTGCACACAGCACARCAAGCATGTTTTTTTATTTCTTTTATAAAATACGAATTACAATAACCATAGGAATGACGCAACTGAAAGTGCGCGCTCATGCTGTGTACTCTCATAAAGCACGCGCTCCTACCAATCAGAATGCGATATTTATAACAATTATTTTATAATGCCCTTTTTTGTTGGTTTTGTTAATATATATATTTATTGATTTCACCCCATCAAGCCCATCTTTCCATGGCCATGTCTCTAGTGTCTCGTCAAGCTTGAACCAACTTTTCCTATGGCTGGAGCATAGTAACTATGTATGGCGCCATATTTTCAGCCAGATTTTTTGACATATATATATATATGTATGTCAATTATTCTGATGTTAATCAAGGTAGACCTGACTTATAGACTAAGTATAACTACTACTGAAAATCAGTCCACATTTGCAAGAATTTATACATCTATGATTATTATGACTTACATCAGCCCTGAGGTTATTTGATCCATCAGATAGTTCGATAAAATTGYTTTTTGCTTCTGTCTAGCAGAACTTGGATTCGGTCAGTGATATTGTGACCGAAATAGGAATGTCTTTAATAATTACCTGCGAAGCGATGACACACAAAAGCTGCAAAAACGTCCAGCAACCACCCATGCTTGCAGTTCACCTGATGTCAGCACTTACTGTTAACTGAAGGCAAGATTAACGAACACTATAAGACTGTGGGTACGTGCCTGCCTTTATAAGCCAGTGTCAAATATAGCGGTTAATTACGTCACACAAACTACCATGCAAGTCAGCCACCTGTTCAGTGGATATTTGAACATTGAACATAAATACGTGGTGGGTTTTGGCTTTGTCGGCTTTGCGTGTTTATGCTCAAGTCATCAATATTTCATCACCATGAACTAAATGGGGAAAGTGAGGTTTAACAATCCATTTATAGCCTTCAGGCAACGCCTCAGGAATAAATAACGTACTATGCGTTACCATATTGGTGCTGTTTTAAGAAGCTTTAATTTCATCGAGTTTAGTGGTGAAGAAAGGTATTTTACGAGACGCAAGAAAATGCGGCCATGGTATCATCAATAATGTATCAACAAACACTTGTGGAATCGTTCAAAGTGACTAAAGTTCTTAACCTCAGTGAGAAATACTCCCCTTTGATGTGTTTGAGCATCATCATACGAGTCTATCGACGTTCTTAGGAGTTGTAACATCAATTGCTCCAAAAATCTATGTCGAGCCGCAACGAGTTTTCAGTTCTTTTACCATTGCCGGAAGAAGAAGTGGTTTGGAAATAAAAGGTATAGACCGCAGCGGGGATAATTATACCAGTTATAAATATTTCAGGAATCGATGAAAATTAACTATTGTAGACGACAACTATTTGATTTCCTAATTAGCGTAGGTTATTAATATTCATAAGTTGAAATTATGGGATGTAAGCCGGGACAGGCAGCAAGACGATCGTAATACGTACACCATATGGTATGTCAAGATTATATTTGATTTTCCGTAAGATATAGGCTTTTAATTTGTAACTTTTTATTTCTAGTGAACCTCGTAATTATAAATCTGTCTATTGTGAATGAAATAACTGAAGAACATCAAGATTATCGAGAATTAAATCGCTGATATAATCGACGAGCGTTTTGCGTTGTGTACCCATTACTGAATTAGATGTCCCCACTGAACGAAAGAAGATGTCCGCTACAACTATATTAGAATAATTAAATGGACCCAGGATAACCACAAATTGTATTTATTAACTTCTAAACAATCTAGTGTATACAACGGCGCATACCTTCAAAATAATTAATTTCATGACCCATTTTGGACCACATTGCGGCCTAGATGGTTGGGTGGTCAAGGTTGTCCTTTTCAAGAGTGCTGTATTGTCCTTTTGCTCGCATAAATTCTCTTGAGGTCTAGAATTTGCAGTACAACTTGTGTGGTAAACTGAAAGGGTGAGTCTTGGTCAAGAGAGCAAGAAGTGGATAAAGAATTCTGTATAATGAATGATAGCTAGTTTTTGATTTGTAGGTTGAGGAACTGAGGAATTTTCAGGTATAGGGTTTGTTGATTCAGTTGTTTTACAGCTTTGAGTGTGGGGAAAAAGAGTATGCGAGAATTCTCTAGAATCAATAATACTGCTTTGATTTGTATGCCTGAGTAAGCTGAGGAATTTTTTTCGTATATAAGTGTAGGATTTATTGACTTTGTTTTACAGCTTGGGCTGCGTGGAGGAAGGTAAGTAATAAAGAAAAACCACACACAGGTTTTCGAGATGATTCTTGGTTAATCGATAATTGAATTGGGAGTGCCGATTGTGATTTGAATTCTTAAAATGAATGGAAAATAAGAAGAAGAAGAAATAAAAAAAGGGGGGACTGAGAGAATGTTTTTGTTCTACTGCATGATTATTGACTATAACCAGGACCATACTTCCAGACATCGAGTGCTGAACCGTCGTATGGATTTACGGCTACGCTGGAGATTTCGACCCCAACACCGCTATCCCGGGGGGACTTACAGACTGATCAGGAAGCTCGGCCGAAGCCTAAGGGAGAGGTTAGTCGGCCCCTAGACCGTAGATGATTAACCCCTCGCTATGATCAGCAAACCCGTCTTAACACTTGTATCGCTGATCTCTTACCCCACATAGCCACTCTTTTCCATGTGGGATGCTTTTAAATACTTGGTGTTTATTAACTCAAGTTCGCGCAAACTCAAAGTAAACTTCAAAAATCTTTAATATTTTCCTGTCCTTTAAGACACTTTGACAGGAGATATTTTTCAGTATCGATTAAAAGGCGGATGATAATCATGGCATAGATCGACTAGAAAGGGGAACTAAACTATCTCGCGTGGTGTTAATGTGGAACCGTAAAAAGGACTATATAAGTGTAGAGCAGTCTTATTATTTTCGCAGATTTCGCTGTGTGCCGGTTTTCACTCTTACGTATACTCACTACCACTACATTTATCATTTTATACACACAACGCTCGACTCACATGTTGATTTTTAAAGAGCGAGAGAAAACCGGAGAACCTGGTGAAAAACCCTCGTGGCAAGGGAGAGAACGACATGATCAAACAAACTCAATTCACATGTGGCATCAGTTCGTATGATGCGCAAATTCATAATCAAAGATTTCACAAGTACTACACGCGCAAATCAGTTGATAACGACGATAAAAGTCCTCAGAACCCCTTACTTGATGCGGGTTCATTTTATTATTACAACTACAAATGGCGGTTTTTAAATGAGCGGGTAGAGGTGACCGGATGGATGGAAACGGCTCAAAGATATTATCTATGTACCCATTGAGAGAAAGGCACCAAATGACTAGAATACGGCTGTTTGGGCAAACCGCTATTTAAAAATTAGATAAATAAATTATGACATCACGCGCGTGCTGATTGACTGGTCACTGTGATTATATCCGGGGCGTACCCGCGCGATGTATTATAAATAAAAAATAAAAACATCAAACGCGCATTCAGTGTTTATGAGCTAAATATATTTTGGTAAGCTTATATTTTACCATGCCTTAAACCACTGCGCCTCTTGCTTTTAAACACGTACATGACACTAATAACTGCTCGTTTAAACACTACATACAGAGGCGCGCTTTTTTACATGTATTATAGTAAGTACCTTTATCTACCGAAGGTAGCACATTACAGTATATAATAAGCAACTGATAACCAGTGTTCCTCAAAATATAACTTAAATAACAATGTACAAACAACTTTAAAATGGCTATTTTATTCATTCATAAAAGAATGTTATATACCAAAATATACATCAAAACCCCATTATTCAGGTTTTTCCTTATTGATTGATATTAAAGCTATAAAACTTCAACAGCCTTATAAATTTTTAAGAACTCTGTTTTTAGATTTTTCCCCCCGAACGAAGAACTCTTTATTTTTATTTACAAATTCTATTATTTTATTTTGCTAGGTGCCCACGGCTGTGAAACCATAAGAATCGTAAAAAAATCCTTTCGATTTGTGAATTCTTTACGCTTTACAAGGCTTGTGCGAATACCAGTTTTACTTGAATAGCGAAGCGATTGGAGAGACATTAGAACTCGTCATGTATTAGTGGTGGTGGCTATAAAAATATTGAAGTAAAACATTAGTCATCTTCATGTAATCGCGTTAGGCTCTTCCACAGTCTCTCGCTCGTCCGTTCCGTCTCCACGCTTAGAGACTGTAACGGTACAATGACCAAAAGGACTTATGGGTCCCGAAAACTTGGACCCAGCGTGCTTCGTGAACCAAAATACTCGTCCACAGTCTCTCTCGTTTTCGCCGCCATCTTGAAAATATTGAAACGAGAGAGACTGTGGACGAGTATTTTGGTTCACAAAGCACGCTGGGTCTAAGTTTTCGGGACCCATAAGTCCTTTTGGTCATTGTACCGTTACGGTCTCTAAGCGTGGAGACGGAACGGACGAGCGAGAGACTGTGGAAGAGTCTAGTAATCGTGTGTGAATAGACCCTTTTCGAGWTCCAAATTACCGCTGTGTTTCTTGATTACAGACTCATTTACTCAGGCTTAGCCTCGATTTTGTGAAGAATATTCACGTGTTCCAGTCAAGGTCCGTCAAGTTTCAAAGTGTTCGTATTGTTGAAGTTGTGCATTCTTTATTTTACCGTTGGTATTTGTGGATATTTAGACACTGATTCGAGGCTAAGCCTGAGTACATGAGTCTGTAATCAAGAAAGACAGCGGTATTTTGGAACTCGAAACTGGACTATTTCTAAGCGTCTTTTGCCGCAGGCTTATCTCTCTCTCTCTTTCTTTCTCTCTCTCATTTCCTCGTTCTTCAGTCCCCCATGGATATTTCAGGTCGTCAGTACCCCTTTAATTACCTATGCTTTATAATATCTATTTGTAAATTATTTCCTTAACTAAAACTAATGGATTGGATTTCCTGTGGCAATGACACGAAAGGGGGGGATTGGATACCACATACCAACAAAGAAAGAAAAAATACTCAAGAGAATGACACTTGCTCTGAGATAGGAAAACATTACGGGCCAAGCTGAATGGGTCAGTAGCAGTTCTACCTACCTTAGCATCATCTAATGTGTCCCCTTCTTTTATCTCTTCATCTCTCTCGTCCTCCTCTTCATCTCTTTCATCTGCTTCAAACGCTTCGCTTTTCTCGGCATCTCTTTCTTCTGGGTCGTAGTGTTCATGCTTTTCAATGTCTCCTTGCTCCTTTTCTCGTTCTTCTAAAGCTGATTTAACTAAATCAAATATTTCTTCTGGGTTTTGGGTCTCTATGGACAGGTCACCTTCAATATTCTAATGAAAAAAGAAAGTAAAGACATTGCATAAACAGTGACACTAGGAATTAATAGAGAATTCGTCACTGCTGTATCTTTATCATGTTTGTTTTTGTTAGTTTTTTTTCCCTTTCCTTTCCTTTATTTTCCTTTTCTTTTTCTCTAATTCTCTTGTTTTTTCTTTTCGTTTAGTATCTTAATTCATTTCTTCTCTTTTATTTTCTTCTTTCTCAGTTCCCTTTCCTTTTCATTCCATTCCTTTCCATTTTTATCTTACCTTGTTTTTATAAATTTTCCTTTCCTTTCCTTTCCTTTCCTTTCCTTTCCTTTCCTTTCCTTTCCTTTCCTTTCCTTTCCTTTCCTTTCCTTTCCTTTCCTTTCCTTTCCTTTCCTTTCCTTTCCTTCTCTTCTCTTATTTCCTTTCCTTTTTATTTTCGTTTCACTTCTTTTATTCCTCTTCCTCTTCCTATTCTTTACATTTTTTTCCAATCTCATTGTTTACCTGTGACATTCCTTCTTGCGCTCCAAGGTACAGTCTAAYAGTAGGGTATGAATGAATACCAACTTGATGACAAAAGTGATACTCTTGCTCGCAATTCACTTTACCCGTCCGGACCTTATCACCAAGCATCTGCCAAAAAAACAACACAAAATACATAAGCTATAGCAGGGGCAGATCCAGGATTTCTTCAAGGAGGGTGTGCAAGCTTTGCTTATAACTCAAACACCCATAATGCAGTAGATATCAGCTTATCTAAGGGGGGAGGGGGTGCGCTCCCCCTGCACCCCTCCCCTAGATCCGCCCCTGTATAGAGTGCGTTTTCAGCTGTACACCTTCTAGGGAAGCACTAGTAATGCTGCTAAAGCACATTCTCCTCGTGTGACTATCCAGCTGATCTGAAATAGTGACGTACACTGTGACGTCACTGCAAAACTGAGGTATCATAGAAGCGATAAAAACGTGCCCGCCATTGGTATAAAAAATATGAAACTCATGAGTTATTGTGTCACTATTATTAAGCGCTTAGTATTAGCAACCTTGTTTTTTTCATTTCGCGGCTTGGAAATCCGTGACTTCAATAGGAAAAGTGACACATCAGTTTTGCAAATTTGCTCGATTCTGATTGGCTAACATTCTTTCCCAGATCAGCTAGATGGGTTGCTTTCTAAGACCGGCACAAAGTACGTAACGTTTCTTTTTCTTTCAGAACCACAAGTCACCTACTTTTGCAACTCTCTCAAACTGCGGAGCAAAACGTATACACGGTCCACACCAAGGAGAAAAGAAATCCAGCAGCCAAGGTTCATGTCCTGTAAGTACTTCGTTATGAAAATCATCGCTTGAGATTTCAGTGACAAGGGATGGAAGGTTCTGATAGGCCCAGATGTACAGAGACTCAACATCACGCCAGCCTTGGTGAGTACTGAAGAAGAAAAAAAAACTTAGTCTACTGAGAAAATAATAACAATAATAATAGTAATAATAGTTTATTGAGTCCTCTAGCAATATAAAACTGAATTAACGAACTGTATACAAAGGTAAATAAAACTAAATTGATAAACTATTTACAAGCAATTGCTATAAAACTAATAATAAAGCTAATAATCTCTATAAAATTGGACAAAAAATGCACAAGAAAGGCAAAGCTCGTGAGAATAAACTACTTCAGTCGAAGACAGTTTTGGATCCAGGGAGGGGCAAGAGGATCTGTAGCTCCCCTTCAGCCATAAATAGTTTTGTTTGATCAGTGATGGATTTACTGCAAAATGAGCAGAGCCGTTACTTACAAGTGATGTAAAATTCGGTCAACTCCCCCCCCCCCTCCCCTATATTTTTGGCTGGATCCCCCCTGGATTATGCAGCGGCCATCTTGGATACTAGTACTAATGCTATCTACTACATTAGTACTTACATGTAATCCCATGAGCCTGTGCTACGATGTGAGTATAGTCTAATGGTAGGGTACGAACGGACATTTTGTTGGGAACAGAAGTTTCTGTACTTGACACAATCTACTGAACCCACGTGGGCCTCGTCTTTTAGACGCTGTGGAAATAAGAAAATGTCGAATGAGTTGAAAATAGCAAGAATAATAGCAGCAGCGATAGCAACAGCAACAACAACAAGAACAACACCACCAACAGTAACAGCAACAACAACAACAGGAGCAACAACAGTAACAGTAACAACAGCAACAACAACAGCGACAACAGTAACAGTAACAACAACAACAACAGCGACAACAGTAACAGCAACAACAACAACAGTAATAAAGACAAACATATCATTGCTATCAGGAATGCTTTCTCATTTCATACCCCCAGTGTGTCTGTCTTTATATCTTTGATCCATTCTTTCGTCGAATCTTTCTCTCGCACTATTTTCCTTTATTCATTTTTCTTTAGTATTGAATATTTTTATTACTTACTAGCCTTCTCGTCGGTTGATGGCACCGGGCCGATCAAAACCTCTAATGCTGTCGTATAATATAATACTTTACCTTGGCTAGTTTATTCCAGTTTGGTAGCAATTCCTGACATGGACCACACCAAGGTGCGTAAAAATCTACGAGCCAAGTCTCATCGGGTTCCTTTTGACCCACTAACGACTCAAACGTCTCGGGAGTCAGGGTAACTACAGAAGGGTTGAGTGTATTCTGACGACAGAAAAGAAGATGTTATTATCAGTTTATGGTAACGGTGTTATCATCAGTATCCTTTTGACCCACTWGCGACTCAAACGTCTCTTGAGTCAAAGTAACTAAGGAAGGTTTGAGTTTTTTCTTTACAACATGTGGATTGAGGTGGGCGAATATTATGTCAAATGCAATGATGATAGCGGTGGTGAGATGCGAACGCGTATACTGGTACCTTTTGAACGGGAAATTGCTCTTTAAGAAAAGAATGAATGGGAAACATTTACAGCTGTGCCTTCTCGGCATGAACAAGGAAGGACATACTTTTACATGCTTTTAGTTCGACCCCGTTTGAGCTGCGCTGCTGCTGTACTTGCCTGAGTACCCCTACCCAATGGCAGGCTATTTTTAACCTGAATATGTTTTGGGGGAGGGGAGGGAGAAATGAATTGTTGAGGTGGATATACCCCTGATCGTAGTTACGAACACCTTGATTATCATTTGTCATGCAATGTGCTTACCTCGACAAAATCTATTAAGTCCCCAGCAGAATGGTGTCCACTAAACTGGATCGGTACCGTATTATTATACAAAATAGTAGTCGGATATGAACGAATATTATACTGAAAAGATAAAGGTGGAAGACAAATATAAGTGCGTTCATAATCATCAAAGTACGCTTATTCAGAGGCGGGTAACAAAACATTGTTACGTTACAAGTTGCAGAACGAATGTTGATGTATAGCCAGATCCCGCTGCACAAAGTACAAGCTCTTTTTACTCTTCAAAGCGAAGAAAATTTGCGCGGAGTAGTTACACGAGCAGTATTTTTCTGCAACTTGCAACGTAACGTTGCGCAACGATTTACATGATTTTGTCGCCCATTTTGTTACACCTTTACACAATTTTCCCCTGCGCATCTTCAGTACTAAATCTTGGACCAGAAATTGGGCCAAAACTATTATGATACCATTCCCTCCCCACTCCAAAGGACATAAGCCCAAAACAAGGGTAGAGAATAGCCAAAGAATGGTCACTTCTACTATCACTGATAATCGATGCGTCCCTTCCTACCTACGCATACAGATACACCACACAACCTGAAGCACAAGCCGTCGAGACCACTGTATGGGTCGCATGATAATTTCATTACTGTAAGAAATGCAGAACATTCAGCTCGTCTTACCATACTACAGAGATTAACGTGTATTGTGCAGTCCACTGTACCAAAACCAATGTTACGTTTCCCGATAAATGATCGTGAAGCTTTTCGATACTCAGGCAGTAGATTCATACACGGGGGACACCACTAGAGAAAGGTAAACCTTCGTTAGTAAGCTTGTGGAAGAAGGAAAATCAATGGAAGGAGCGGTGGCGTTGAATAAGTCATGTAAGCCGGAAAAGCTGAAGTTTAACTGCTATGCCAAGTCGGTTAACGACAGTCATGGAAAATGGAAGGTAAAGAAAAGAAGGAAGAAAGGAAGGAAGAAAGAAAAGAAGGAAGGAAGTAAGGAAGGAAAGAAGGAAGGAAGGAAGGAGATGGACGAGATTTGAACTGCTTCAATTCATTCCCGTTGAAAGACCTAATACATGCATGAGCTCGCATGTGAAGCTGTATAAATGCGCAGAATCTACTGCAACGTGAGTATTGGTTAACGCTGACAAGACGTGTGCCTTGAAAATTCACATCTTGAAAAAAAAACAGAAAATGAACAACCGAGCCATGCAGTTGGCTAGCAAAGGAATTGTGGCGGGGGGTTTCCGTAGTAATTATTTCAAAAACGAAATCAAATCATTTCAAACATTTGTGAAAAGATGTTATAACATATAACAACTASTAAAGCTGAATTTCAGTTTACTTACCGGAGCAAAAAAGTCAATAAAGAAAGGACGGTTAGGAGTGATGACCCCAGGAAAGTCATCAGGTCCTAGCGTTTGTACATTTGACGAGGCACTCTCTTTGGCGAATACTGCAATATCATGAGCTGTAAAACGACCTAAAACGAACGAAGGCGGGATAAATGTTTGGAATGATTAAATACTCAGTGCCATTACCCTATGAGCTGGATAATATTTCATCAAGCGCCCCCCTCCCCACCCACCCCCACCCCTGTTAGGGGACCACTTCAGGGTAAAACTAAGAACACATTTTTTCAGCACTTCCTATCCGATCAAAATATAATACTAAGGTAAAATGGACTACTCACCATGGTGCCACTCAAAGCCATCCTTCTTAAACAAAGCTACTTTAGGATACTTTGAAAGATGAAGAGAATCACAGACTTCCTTGGCAGTAGAGCAATCCACCTGACCAATCTGAAATACACGACAACATTCTTTCCTCTCTTAGCACTCTTAAAAACGTAAATATGCTTAAAGATCAGCCCAGATTAGCTCCTAAGCTGTTTCAGGGCTCCATAAAACTGAAGTTTGAGCTGTGCAGTGCTGTCCGCGCATTTGTGTAAATTCTCCCAACCCCCTCCCCCTCCCTGTAGGTCCCCCATGTGCTAGAAATGCCAGCCCAGAGGTCGTTTCAGGGTTTGATATAAAGTTGGGAAATGTTTGAAACGAAAGGTTGGGTTGTGCAGCACCATCAACATAGAGATTCTATCTCTCTCCCGCTCCCCCTCCCCCTATCTTTCTCTGCGTGCTTCTCTCTTGAGTTAGATGGTGATAATCTGAGGAATATAAAATATCTTTCACCTGGAACAGATAGTACATGTTTATAGCTTACCTTGATATCAGGTAGAACGGTAGGTAATTTTCTGATTTCTAAACCTACTGACGTGCCCTTGTCGAAGTGTATCAGCCATGGTTCTTCACCAGTTTTTAATTGCTCACGAATATCCTAAAAAAATTGAAAAATCATTCAGTTATGTGACAAAACGATGTGCTCCAGCTCATCGTAAATATCAAATCCCGTCTTTAAATTTCCAGCGGCATAAGTTGTTTGATATACTGCAAGGATCAGCTCAATTTGATTTAATATCTAATGTTTCATGTTCATATAACAAGTGGCTTAGCAAAAGAAACATTCGCCTATAATCATTCTAGTCCTAATAATGGGATCGTTTCTTCTCTGTCTGTGCATGCACCACAGCTGAGTTTGTTTATTTGCCTTCCTAGCTATGAGTCTGAAAATCCTTGTGCTCTTGTAACTAACATTTATGAAGCCTGGAAATGATAAGTTGTGTTGCCTTTTAATGCACTAAAACAAACTAAATTTATAGCTCTGAAATACAGTGGTACTTTATTTAAACAGACACCCTTTATTGCTTGAAGGGACAGTAATAATGCAGGGATCCAAAAATTGTCACCCCAAACATTTACAATAAACCAAACCTCTGATAAGCAGCGACAGACAAGGTCCCAAAGGTGTCCACTTAGCAACTATAGCAACTATAGCTTTACTACTTACTTGGAATGAGTCATGGTCTATGTTCAATGGGTCAGGTGTTAATCTTAGCACTTGATCAACTATATCTTTTGTGTGTAAACTTTTAATGACCTGTGAAAATATATTGACACCAAAGCATGAAATAAAGTCATGGGAATGGGAAATGAAATGGGAAGTGAAATGGGAAATGAAATGGGAAGGGATAGTGCAAAAACTATCTTTGATAGATAACACAAAGGGCAATGTCAAAGCACTGGTCAAAATAGAGACCCAAAATATTTTATTCTTTTAGCTGGTGAGCCCCTCAGAGACCTGTTTTCAAAAAAGAATTAATACTAGGTCTTCATAGTTTTCTTTTAGTTTTGGAAATAATGGGGGACAAAATCCAGAATTTAACTTTCTAATAATTATAGAAGGAACAAAAATTTAACAAGGAGGCAACTATTGTAAAATTTATAGGCTGCTGAGCTGCCAGATGCCTTTGTACATAACATTATGCTTTTCAATGAGAAGCACACCTAAGAAGGAATTAGTTCCTTATTATCTAACAATATTTGAAACAATATTTAAATTACTATTTGAAACCAAATGTTCTACATTTTAGATGGTCACTGTATCAGTAAAAGGTAAAAGGGTTTAATAAACTTAAGGTTTAATGGAACTTACAGTGCCTTTCCCAGCTTCTATATGATTATCGTTGTAGTACACAATTTCACCATGGTGATGCAGAGAATTACATAAGGCTTCATCATGTGAGCAGTCTATTGTCCCAACTTGTACTAAATTATCCTGAAATGGCATCAAAAAGTACATCAGTGTAACTAGCTGTCTATTAAAGTCCATTAATGTCATAAGTTCCATCTCGATCAGGATCACCACCTTAATGTGGTGAGACAGTTTGCATGTTCCAATGAATCCTAGAGCTATGCCAGTGGGAGTCATGTACTCTTGGTAGGTCCACCAATGCCAGACAGGTCGAAGGGTAGAGACCAGATGAAAAGTGACCCCACTGGTCCTCCAGATTGGGAGTTGGGCTGAGGGCTAACCAACTCTCATAAAAAAGTTTATTACAGAAACCAGAAACAGAGCAAATTTGCCAAATTATAGGGGGGACTGTGGTACCACCTCATGTCATAAGTTAGATGAGTACAAGTGGCTCAGGTGTGTTCTCTCCAAATCCCAGTGCTTGATTTGACAAGCCTGATGTCATTTGGACCTGTCTCATTTGGAATGTCCATTTGCTGAATCATAAGTTTTCTAAAGCAACACAAGGTTGGCAGTGTTTGACCACCATTTGGAGTAGATAATGAGATAGAAAGAATTTTATCAGCTGATTGAAACCCAACAATACCCTCCACAAAGATAAATTGTTTTTGTAGTGGATTCCGTCATTCGTAAGGTCTAAAACTCCTTTTTCCTCTTGGTATATAAGACAACTCCCAACCCTCCTCACCACCAAAATATTCAAGTTAAAAATACATTACCAAAACTGCTGCAAGCTTTAATTTACTGTCAGATGATAAACAATCTGTTGGTTGAATGATAAGAGCAAAGTAAATGTTAAGATAAAATAATCAGCTCTAAATCACCTTCCTCCCTTCTCAATACATTCCCCATTCAACTTCTCCAGAAAGCTTATATGTGGTACTGTAGACTAGCTCAGACAACTGTTAAACGCATGTCAGCCTGTATTGCTTGTTTGAGAGTCTGAACTAGTTATTTTTGTTTTTGTTGTTGTTGTAGTGGGGCGAGGGAGAAGTGGGGTAGAGGTGCAAAAAGTAAAACTTCCTTCCTTTARTTAACATTTTTATGTCAGTAATATACAAACCTGATGACGGTTCACAGAAGTCTATTAACCACTGTTGATGTGAAGATGATATTTCTGATTCAAAATTTTCTATGTAAGAACAATTAAAGATTATATTATTATAGTATCTACTACATACATGTAAGGTACCCAATTCATGAAATAATATGTTTCATTGGGGGAAAACCTGATTTACCAATCACTGATTGACATTTGGTCCACCTTTGGCCAAAACTCGGCTGATTATTGACCAATAATTGACAATATTGACTCTGACGAAGGACTGACGTCTGAAACCTCAGTCTATTATCTTTCGTATTTATGGTGATAAGATTATCTACTACGACACATTTGATTATTGACCAATGATCAGTAAAAGCCAGTTGATGTTGATCAATATACAGTGTTGATTGGTTATAAAGTATGCCATTTACCTCTACTGATATTATATTAGCAATATAAGTGTCTAGCTTTCATGAAAAGATATCTTACCTTTAGTTAATTCTATTACTTTAATTTCAATTGCATCTAAAATGAATCTAATTAATGCTCTTTCTGTTCTTTGCCCTCTGTAAAGATGTTGCTACACAAGATAAGAATACAAAAGGCATTTAGAATATGCATTGGTTAAAGATCGGATAAGGTGAAGAAATAGAAAATGTTTGTATGTGTTGTAGCACTGTGTTTAGTCGAACTTTATAAGAGACAYGCTCACACAATAGTGTTCAAAAATACTAATAAGAATAAAAAGCACACAAAATTGCTGCTTATGCTATTGCACTGTAAAATAAATATGTGAGGAGCTATAGAGCATGAGGAGAGCAAGCTTAGAAACATGAAGGATAACCGAGTGCATGTGTTATATATTTCTTAAATATATAATGCACTCTTTACTCCCTCTCGTCATAACTGCACCCTTGCAACCCTGATAATACTTACAGATGGGTAAAGCACAAGTGAGGGGTAGCTATGGATTCCTTGCTGCCGACAGAGAGACCAGTCCTCCTGACAGTTAACTGCTCCAATTCTTACAACACCCTCAAGCTCACGTGCAACTTCTCTCCACTAGGAAGAAAAATATACATGAAAAAAATGATTATGATTGATTGGCCATCTGAATTACAGCATCCTTTACCACCACTACCGGAAGAATTCTTTACACACTTTCTTTTGTTTATGCATTCTATGTTAGAGAACTTTTTATGTAAGTTGGGAATGTACAGCACTAACAAACAGCACCTTACTTATGACTGTGAAAAATTCACGGCGTTGACAATGCCAGACCAGTCACATTGCACATGAAAAAGTCAGCCAATTTAAATTCTAGAAAGCATCACGGTCACGGCACCTCACACTTACGGCACTGAGCTTTTCACAGTCATATGACAACTGCACTATACCATAAACACCCAAATGGCTTCCTATTGTCTATGTTCAAATTATCGAATCACAATATTAAGCTATGGTTGTATAGTAAAATTATATAGTACAGAATGATGCATTAGAGCAGTTTTCATATGGCTGTCAAAAAGTTGGTGGGTTTCTGGCATTTGATTGGATGGAGAGTACATTCTCATGCAATTTGATTGTTCAGTGGCATATGTGCCTTATCATGTCACGGCCGTGTTCATGCCTTGACCTTTAACACTCATATGAAAACTGCTCTACAGATTTCCTTTCCCTAAAAAAGCCTTTCTAGGTAAAATATTGTTATAGAGGCATGTCCCACTAAATATTGCATCCTTATTGCTGCTACATGTATATACAAAAAATTACCAAAAATGTACACTTACTGTAGGAGCCAAATCGTGGCAATGTGAGCAGAAAGGTGAATAATAATTTATAAACCAAACATCATCACTGCCTTCCACAGACATTTCTACAAGATAAAAGCAATAAATAATTAATCATTAATACTGCATATCAAACTGAGCTGATCCTCGCAGTATATGAAGCAACTTATGCAGCTGCAAATTGCAAGACTTTTTTGATGTTTATTTTGAGCTGGAGAACATCTAATTAGTGTCTAGCAATTTTTAAATAGGGTCTGCTTCTCTTTATCTAAAAATGTTTCCTCTACATTCCTGCAGTTGTCACACTGTTAAATATATCAGAAATACATTTCATTCATATATACAGTATATATATATATGTATATACTTACGAAAATCAGAATAACTAAGAGTTATAATCTCTGGATCATCATCATAAAGTCCTAAAATAATCATGCAAAAAAAGGACTATCAACAAATTAATATTTAAAAAATATTTAAATTAGGAATATTTTTTAAAAACATAAAAATGAATCACCAATTTACAATTAAATCACCATATATAGTTAATGGAGTGGAATGGTTTGGAAACCTCCATAGAACAAAGCTATTGTTTTGCCTTTGATGTTGAATCGTACCATCACGTGTTACTGACGGTGCACAATGAACCAAAGTAATTACGGCAGAAAATGCTCATCTCCTTATTATTTTCATGTATGAACATTTTGAAAGTAAAAACTTTCATTCCATGACCAAAAACCATGGGTATAAATATTTACGCACAGATACAGTTAAGTTACTAGATGCTAAATAAGAAAGCATTAAAAAGGGGAATTTCATTTTCAATAAACAATTAATATTAATCAAATAGGATTAATTGCCAAATAATACATATTTTAGAACAATTTTTAAGGGTAAAAACTTTTATATTCCCTAATACTGTGAACAAATGGAGAAACTTTTCCTGCACTGTCAATGTCACATAACAATGGATAAAGAGACAGTCGGATAAAGACGAACAAAAACATAGAATAGGTTTAATTCCAAACCATTCCACCCCATTAATGTTGTCACCCAACTATGAAATTGACCTGGCTACTAGTACATCCACATGGCATGGGCAAGGCAATCAGTGCATAGCAATGAAGAGAGTGGTAAAGTTGGTTGCATGTAGAATAAATCAAATAAGATATCTTACCAAATTCTTCATTAAAATAATTCCAGCTTTGGTACTGATTGCTGAAGTGATTTTCCTTTAAGCCCTCTTCTCCATATGAATCATATTTCTTACGAAGTTCAGAATCTAAAAATAAGGCATTCATATTGCATAAAATGAAATAAAAAAATGAATAGATCTCTCCATTATATCGCCATCAGCCAAGATAATTACACAGGGAGCCCAACTACAACATTCTTCTAAGACTCGGAGAGAAATTTTTTWAAGAGAAATATATATGTTTCTTGCAATGCCACGGTGTTAAATATCTTAGCAAAAAACATTTGAGGTCATACTTTCTTGTCCCCCACTCTCTCTCTCTTTCTCTCTCTTGATTCAAATTTGACAATTCGACGAGTTCATCTGAGCTCATTACATGAGTTCAACTACAAAAAGGTAATCGCAGTTGATTTTGAAACAAACTTAGAATGCATAATATGGTATTAAACAGAGTTTTCCTTAATGATTACTAGTTCTCGAGGGTGTTATATCAGCTGAATATCTAATAAAATGAAATATTATTATAAGCACACGTTGGTGTTTGCTCACAGCTACGTAACTAATTAAAAGTGTGATTATAACATCTGAAAATTATTACACTCAAAACCATTCCTACACTATTTTGTCAGAAAATATGAAGYCCCAGAAAGCATAAAATATAGGACTCTAAGAAATTTAGAGCCACGTACCAGTTAGACTTATACTTGTATTTGACAACCACATTATTATTTCAAAATGATTCGAGAGAAAAAATAATAATTCGAACGATCGACTTACCTTTGAGTACTTCGTAAGCTCTATTGATAAGTAAAAACGTCTCGTGTGCTTTGGGGRCATCCTGTATATTTATATAGAATTATAATCCTTGGTAAATAAGAGTTCGTAGTTATTTTTTTTCACCAGAAACTATATRATTTTCCGGTGCATAAATATCGTAAACACGTACGTAGATCTAAGCTTATATATATCACCTTGTTCTTGTCAGGGTGAAGTCGAAGMGCTAGCCTCTTGAAAGCCTTCCTGATTTCCTTATTACTTGCATCCCTGGTTATACCTAACAGCTCGTAATAATCCTCTGCTAGTACAGGGGAAGATAATAAAGTAGAAAATAAAATAAATAAAATATTTCGTTTCATTGTTGAGTGTTGAACATGACTTGGTGACTACAACTACACTAGACACCAGACTTCCCTATCGTCACGGTCACGCTTTGCCACGCACGCGCACTTCCGACAAACACGTGTCATTTTGTGATTCAGGCCACGTTGTCTTGACAACGGCTCTCTTGCGGAAAAAATGGCGGGAATCCAGATTACTCCATGAACAATAGAGTTAAGAGAACGTTTTTAATTATTTTTTAAGTTAATTTATAATGAATTTTATGTGTTTGTGGTGAAACAAGAGACATTAAAGCTAAACAGCCACTAAACAGCCCACGCGCACCGATTAGCATAGCAAAATAAGTCTTAATCACTATTATTGTTATAAATAAGAGGTCTCATAGAAAGGGCATCCGTGAATAATCATATTTGAAATGACAGATAAACCATTTGAAGTGAGCCTTTTCATTCGGAATTGCTCAACCTTAAATGAATACAGAGCTGAGCTTCAAAGCGAGTCACATTCATTTAAACTTAAAAAGTGCCCTCTTAGTTTCGTTTATACGCCGCGATGTTATCGTGTAAGACCGAGTTATCTTTTGATTCCCCGGCCGATTTGAAAACATTGAGGTTATGTCTGCTGATTAAAAGTCGCGTGCGGGCAGAGCACCCTAATATACAGCAATAGCGTGCCAAAATCATTTTTTTAGTGGTACATAACGAGTTATTAGAGAGTTTTAGATTGACTTTTTTCTCCCCGCAAACGGCAAACGTGACCATGGTTTCATAGTTTTCCTGTATTTTACTTTACCTTTTACAAACCTTCTCACCAAAGACAAATATTCTTTTGTTTTTCTACTACTTGGACTTTTTTACGATACTTTTTAAGCTATTTAAAATAATTTTTAAATGGTCAACTGACGTTTCACGTTTGCCGTAAGCGTAAATCTAAAACTCTCTATTTTCTGACGCCTAATGTTTATTATCATAGGTCGTGGTACGTCTGACCGGTGCTAATGATTTTAAAACCTGCCAGGACACACGAATATCATCAACTCGTGCTCCGTTGTCACGATCATTCTTGTCAGTCACGAGTATCTTGGTATATGGCTAAAAAAGCCTTGGTTGATCTAGTTTATCCATCATGTGTAGTTTGTTGTCAACATTATGGCACTATAAAAGCATGCATTGTTCACGCAGGGCCAATTATAATAAATCGTAACATAGATCAAACAATGAACGAACTAACAATTATAATGATATAACACGGCATTTATCAAGGGTAAAGATTGCGATGTTGCACTCCCAAGAGTACTTGTTCAACTTATGTACTACTTGTATTATCATTCTCAGCGGTCTCACTGGTATCCATGCCATGAGAACTGATTAGCTATTCCACTTCAAGCCTGCTAAGGCCGTACGGTATTCAGAGCGTTTCTAGTACGTTTTGGCCAAGCTGTACTTCCACAACCTGCGGTTGCTCTCATTATATTTCCTTTTTCCCACCCTCCCCACCCTCCCTACCTTCCCCACCCTTTCTATCCTTGCGCTGTTTTGGCCCTTTTGAGAGCTGCGCCAGGACTACTCCCATGAGTACAGTGAGGCGGACGTGAATGGGATATTTTTCGTAGCACAGTTGGCCCACTTTCATTTTAGATCAGGACCGGAACTGAAAGACACTTAGATAGCACGGCTGCCATAGCCAAGGACGATATTTTCCTTCTGGCCAACTTTTTATATAAGTATAGCACTCTTTTACTCCTTCCGACTTTGAGTCTTGCTTGTTATATTGTGACAGCAATGGGCTGTATAAGTTAGCTGAGTGCATACCATATATCTGCTGTGAAAACCTTTTTATTCTCGTTTCACTTCTTTCTCTTCTTTCTTTCTTTCTTTCTTTCTTCCCTCCCTCCCTCTCTCCCTTATTCCTCCTTCCGGTTCTCTCCTACTCCTTCCCTCTCTTTTTCATTAGCTTCCCGCCCATCCTTTCTATCATTCCATCTGGATCTTCACTTCATTTTCTTCCCTTTTTTCTTTTCTTTAATTCTTTCTTGCTTTTTTTCCAGCCACACTTTCCCCAGTTTCTCCTTGACTGAAAAAAAAAACTTTGGCGGTTTTTTTGCGGTTAAGTTGGTGGGATTCGCTAACCTGCAACTCTGCAGTCATTATTTAACCATGAAATATTTATGCTCGCGGGATTTTTTATTCGATATCGAACATCATCACAGTTTCGAAAATCGAAGAAAACGACTATCAGTCCAGACAAACTGTAGCACAGGATATTAAGAGTTGAGTGTCAAGACTCTCTGCAAGACCGGTGGAATCTTTTTCCAGGAAACAGAATTAAGACTTAAGAATCTCCCTCTAGCGTAGAGGCAGTCCTATAGTCCCCTTTGTGTCAATCATAGGAATATATAATTATTGTAGTTTCAATTCCTTGTCTGTCGTGACAAAATGAAAGGTCAAACTAATATCATTTATCGACCGGAGGTTTTCAACAGCAATTGAACAAACTGTGAATGCTGTCTTCTTCTTTTTTTACACAAGTGTCGATTTTCTTCAAATTAATGCAAAAGCTAGTGACAGTGTTTCTTTGGAAACCAAAGTGACTTTGAAACCGTCAGAGAAAATGGAAATGAGACTGGAATCGGTTACTGGACAAACGAGAGTCGTTCGACGAAGAGCCTTCACTAAATGGGTTAACTTTCATCTGAGCCAACGCTCTCTGAGTATAGACGATCTTATAGACTTATCGGACTGTTTTGTGACCATAAAACTATTGGAAATCCTCAGTCAGAGGAAGGTACCTATACGATATTCAGGACAACAACCTATTAGAATAAAACAAAGAGATTGTTGGACTAAAATATTCGAGTTCTTGAGGAGCCAAGACTTTCCGTCTGTTATCGACGAAGAGGGTAAGTTTAGGTCACAAATTAATTTTCAGTAAGACAACGAAGCTCATGCAACAGTTAATTAGGAAGTAGTTAGTAAATCATTAGTGTGTAACTGTTCTGAAAAATACACGCATTTAGTTGACGGATAATCGAACAGGAGTAATAAGCGAATGGATTTTTTATTGTGAAAGAAAATAAAGGACTTTTGGGGAAGGTTTGACTCTCAATTCGGAGAGCGCATAGCAGGTATGGTATGACAATATTTGGCGCTATCGTGTAAAATCTTGCAACCTCTTCCATTGAAAATGGAAAAAAATGCGCAACTGAGGACGTGCATGTAGCGAGCTTCGACATGCAAAAAAAGCTGTTATTTGTTTTGGCGAAACGAGTAAATTTATTCCAAAAGTATTATTACAAAAAACATATATTTACATTTTGATTGGAAATCACATATTTCTATATATACATTTTTTCCCCTAGAATTTTAAATTGCTTTTTGAAAGCAGGCCGACTCAAATAAATTTCAAGACATCATTTAATTCGTTTTTGCATAACTTGGTAAAAAATAATTTGATATTGTATTATTTATTTAAACTGTGGCAACCATGCAAGCCATCTGTATTTTGAAAACCATTCAAAACCCAGACATATCTGTCAAACTGAGCGCTGTTGTCCAATCCGTCTCGATATAAAACTTAATATGTATTTGAAATTTGAGATTTAAGATATTTTGGATCGACTGGGTTTACAAACATTTGAGAAAAAAAATATATATATATATATATATATTTTTTTTTTTGTGATTTGGAAAAGAGATGATGATGATGACCCATGATGATGATGACCCATGATGATGACAATTATAATGATGATATTGGTGGAAAATATCTATATCTGGCGTCGAAACTGGTCACTTTTTATCATCCTGGTCGTCTTTATCAATATTTTATGTTTCCTCCACATCGACATCAAAAACAGATTATATATTAAATTCTGTTTAAAACAGGATTTCCAGGCTACAACCACACAGCGCTTTCTATATCATTATGGTAATTTTATACCATCAATTGGTCACGTTGTACAAATGAAACGAAAGTTTCCTCCCGCTGATGTTGAGAACTGAACGCTGTGAAGATTCACAGCCGTTCGCCGTAAAAAAAGACAACATGGACTCTCTTCCATGAGGTAAAAACTCGCTTTTATTCGCTTGAAATTCATAATATAGAGGACAAAACCTCTCTTATTCATGTAAGGAATATTTCTCCGAAGACTGAGCATGCTGCAGCACTACTATACTCAGGAAATACAATGAATTTTCTTATTATTATTTTGCTTGTAATATCGCTTTGAAGTCATTCATATTTACAACCGTGGAAAAGCAAAATGTTCGAAGTACGACTTACTATTGATTATGTTTCGATCGTTTGATTTCTTAGAAAATATATTTTCCGACGAATGAATGGCTTCGCCATCTTGAATTCGCCGACAAGAAATATTCATATTTGAATTTATATTTCCCAGTGGACTCAAACTACAGACTTAATTATATTCAGTATAATTTGAATGCACTCCTTAAGACTCTTGAATCCATTCCAAGGCTATCATCATCGATAGCAGGTTTTATTTTCTTGGCCGTGATAATTTATGGAGACTCAAATGGTGCTTGTCGTTCAACATGTTCAAACATAATCAATACATTGGATCATGTTTTAGTGGATCGAATGATGGTTTTGGAAGGTGTGGTGATATATACGATTGAACTTGAGACATATCAGCTTTTCGATTAGATTTCCATTAGATATTCGGTATAATATCGGCAAACATATAGGTAAATATTCTTATTCGCTTTTTATTTATACAAAATGCATATTTAGCACGAATTATACAAAGACGGCAAGACAATTTGTGACATATTATGAATGTGAAATGTAATGTTTGTTTCTTTTTCCTTTCCGTGTATAAAAAAAAGTATTTTTCCCCTGTCATTAATTCGTCTCCCTGATGATTATAGAGTATTCGGAAAATATATATTACATTTAGGAAATATTATCATAAGAAAATCGGATAATTTAAACTGGTTGTCTCAGCTTGGAAGCTATAAACTAACTGATGTTTCCGGAAACATCTTTAATCCTAAAAATCCCCTTAAAATCTGAGTAAAAACATAAGTCCAAGCCAAAACCGCAAGCGACGCATACATTCTGGCGGATTTCTTTGAAATACTGAAAGAATACGAGCCACCTGCTAAGAACTGCTTCTTATGATTCAAAAAAATCTTAAGAGCAACAGGTGATTGTCTTCAGAAACAACAAAGGACCCTTTTTGTTGCCAAGAAGCCGTGCCATCTAGAGACTACAGAAGAGAGAGTTTCTTACTCTAGTTTCTCCGTTACTGGTCGAAAAAAGTACAGATTCAAGTTGTTAGAAAAGACGTTTTACGGAGAAGTAAGTTTTCCTAAAAGGAGTACAAAATTTTTTTCTGTATTTTTGTAAGTACAAGCGATCTATCGAATGTTGGTAATCGATCGAGAGCGTCATAGTTCACAAATAGAATTCAGATTACTTGGATAGATTTTAAGGTCGATACTTACGTACTGAAAAACTGACATGGCTTTCGAACGGAACTGCAGTATTATGTTACGTAATTTTGGTTATTTTGTCGTAGTATTTTAGCTATATACTACCCATTTTCTGGCGAACGTATTTTAATACGTTAAAGTATCTTAAAAGATACTTTATTGAGTTTAGGAAATTTCCAGGAGAGTGAGGTTCCGACGTTATATTAGTAGTGGAGTCAAAAAATTCCTATTTATAATACGACAACAAGAATATAAAATAATCATATTTTTTATAGTTTGAAAGACGCTAAGATTATCGTATTTACACACTTAGATTTAATTCTAAGCTGCAGGTGGTTTAGCACGAATGGAAGCATAAGATTCTTGTCCTTGCCATTTCCTATTGTCTCTTTCAGACGCTAGCTAATTGTTCGACAGGCAGAAATTAAAATTTAATTCCATCTATCTTTTCTGTTCTTTTCAGATTTAGATAGCCTTTCTCGAGGCTCTGTTGATATTCTTCTAGCGTTTGTTTGGTTTCTTATTGAAGTCTACCTCATCGAACCTTGCAGAACAACAATGTTGGGCAAGACTCAGAGCTCAGCACGGAAGTTCATTCTATCTTGGGTACAGCAAAAGTTGCCCGGCAGAAATATCAATAACTTTGATGAAGACTGGAAAGACGGAGTTGCCATTTGTGAGCTTGTGAATGCGCTTCAGCCTGATGCTATACCTTCTAATCTGTACTCTGATAAAACAAACTGCGAAGGAAATGTCAAGCTTGGGATTCAGGTCGCTCATGATAAATTTGGCATACCTCAGATCATCTCCCCTTTTGACATTGCAACTTCACACATCGATGAACTAAGTATTCTAACCTACATTGCTTTGTTTTGTAAATACGAGAGCTTGATCAAAGGAGACACCAACAACAACAAGGCCACCTCAAGCTCCCATAGAGAGAATTCTGTCTGCAAGGCGTACGGCTCCGGACTGAAGAGCGGAGAGATAGGCAAGGTAGCGGAGTTTATCGTAGAACTACAAGGTGCTAAAGCCTCAGACATAACCATAGCAATTGAGTGCAAGCCCACTTATGGCGGGTACGACGAGAAGCCGGAACTAAGCGTCAAATCTGTCGGTAGGAGTACTTATGTTGTCAAGTATATTCCCACAAAACCAGGAGAGTACATCATCAGTGTTTTACACTGTGGGGCGCACATCCTGAGAAGTCCTTTTCACTTGTCCGTGACTGGACCTGCTGGGCAAAATGGTATAATCGATGAAATGAACGGCTCAGTAACAAAGAATAGCAAGACAGGATCACTTGAATCAATACCAGGGATACGAGAAACACTGAGAGATACTGCTTTACCGGTATTCAAGTCCATGAAAGAGGCACCCAATCATGACAAGACAGATTCTGGTTCATCCAATCATGCTAACGGCGCGCAATCCTTAAATTCCTCGACTCCGGTCGTACAGGTTCGTGATTTATCACTTGAAATTCCTATGAATACTGCCGAGGGTCCTGGTCTCGTAGCTGGTGAAGTAGGACGCGTGGGAAAATTCACCGTTATCACAGACAACAATACCAAAGGCCCTCTAAGTGTTTGTATCAGCTGTCCCGCAGTCTCGATACCCGTCCCGTACGTCAAAAGCGAGAAAAAGAGCACCCATACCGAGCACCGGGTACTTTACATCCCGACAGAACCAGGAACCTACGAGATCTTTATCAAATGGGGCGAAAATGGAATTCGAGGAAGCCCTTTTAAGGTTTTTATCAACGATGTGAATCTGGACGAACTCAGTGCAGCTGGTGATGCTGATCCAGAAGATCTTGGTGGTAGAGGAAAAATCAGGGTTTACTATGCTGCTACGTCTATGAAACCAAGGGCTCAAAGAGACAAGCAGCTCCTAGAGACGTTTCTACGAGGAAAACACATTTCGAATCGGCCTGATTTTGATTCTTGGATTGCACTAGATGTCGGAATGAGTCGAGCACAGAGGGAAAAGGTGTTCAAAAAGGCAGGACATAGGTCAACTCCAATGCTGTTCGTCAATGATCGGTACATTGGTACCTATGAAGATGTGGTAATAATGGACAAAGAAGGTTTGTTTGACTCATGTCTTGAATACTGAGACAACAAAAGGTGATATCATACAGCCACAGAATAGAAAAGCGTTCGTTAGTATTTAACTGCCGTACTACTACAGAAAGTATTTTAAAGAAGCCTTTAAGCCCGACCAGCTACACTGGAGAATTTTACATCGAGGTCTGTTATCTAAGTATGGGGCAGACATTACTTAGTGCTACAGCGGTAGAAATTGGCCTGTAACCCATGTATGTAGTCCATGCGGTATGTAACCCATGCGGTATGTAACCCATGCAGTATGTAACCCATGCTATATGTAACCCATAATGCA